GTCGTTTATTGAATAAGAAAGAGAATGAAACAGCAAATCAAGTAAACGCAATGAAAACCCGACCGACTTTCTGTTCATTTCAAATCGCTGAAGCGTTAACGACAGTTGGCACTTTATTTATATACTCATTAGTTGCCCATCGTAGCAAGTCCAAGAAGATGGAATTAAAAAAAAAAATTCTGCATGATTTAAAAGTAATCTGTTTTCACGCATTAGCTTCATTAATTCAAGGAATAACCCTTCAGAGCCAAACTGCATGGTGTGACAATGCAACAGTTCCAGTTCACTCATCCTACTCGGCGGAGAAGACATTCCTGATATATACATGACATATATAAAAAAGTTCAGACTAAAAACAATCCGACGTGTTGAAATTCGGATAGAATGCCAGACAGAATGCCGTCTGGCCAGGTGTAGGTCGCCAAACGACCCTCGTTGGTGATGTAACTTGGCTCAAGATAACCACGAGTTCCTAAGAACATCACGACATGAAATGTTGAGAAGAAGCGGAAAGGTTCTTCCAACTGGTTCATTGCGCTAGTTATATAAACAACTTTATCCTTTCTTTTATTATCAAAAATAATTCAAACAAGTCCAAATACTTCTTCTGAAGTAATGGTTTTAATGGAGTATTTTCAGTGTGAGAAGTATCAACTACTTTACCATTCAAGACTCTGGATAAGGTATGGTCAAACCGTTGTTACTGTCCTTGGCAATGTTAGGACTGAGTCGGTCTTCAAGGAAATTTGAAATCGCCTGTAAAAACTTAAATATGTCAATTTGCAGACAGATTTAAGATTGTTTTGCCCTGATGATGACCTTACAATAGGTCGAAGCTTGGCAATAACAACTGAATTTGCTTTTTTCTTCATGGCCGTACCTTGATCCAGTATTCGTCAATGGAGTACGATATCGGATAAATGTGGCGGATGGGGGTCGGTGGACGTTCTATTACATTTGCCAGCAGTGACACTGCCAACAACCACAACTTTATAAAAGTAGAATTTTTATCTGCGTCATCGGTTAATTCAACTCAGATCATTCGGTCTAAAATTTAATATTTTAACCGATCGAAATTGTGCACTGATTATTTATAACACTGCATTATTATGGGCGAAGTACGAAAATGTTTGGAGTAATTTTTGTAAAATTAGCCCGGCCATCGTTTTGATCTACCTATTTTGGTGTCTGGTGCGCCTTAAGTGGAGCGTTTAACCAACAATAGGAACCAATAAGGCGAAAACCCGTAACCCGTCTATCAGGCCATGCTACAAGTACATCACCCCGCCGACCACAGAGAAATCTTACAAAGTTGAAAGTATAGAGTTTTTTAAGTTTCCCAATAGGTCCTAGCGAAAATGTTTGTGATATGTAAAAACCTACTATCTAATAAATACAAAAACTTCGTCATTTTGACAGTGAAAATTCAATGTTATGCATCATTGCACTAATTATTTTTCTGTCTTTCTGGCCATAGTTCGTATCGACATTCAGCATCGTTAGTTGCTTTTTCCTAATCATATCATATTTATCGTTATTTTTCCTTAAAATATTGCGGAATTAGACACTTTCTTAGTAAATGTACAATAATACGAATATGTGGCACTGTTGATACAGAACAAACATTTCTGAGGTTGAAGCTATCGAATAACCATAACCGAACTTGTTATCATCCATTTTTACCAAGTGACAGTGGTTAAGCCAATCGAATTGTTGTTGGAATAATAGAAATCCGTTAGAATATTGACTTCTATTACTTTGATGAAAATGAGATGACAAACTCTAGTGATATTGCTCCATTGTTAGACATCATCATACAGGCCTCAAAAAGAAATCATATAATTTTTTTTTTTAACAAAACAAACGTAAACTCTAAAAATAGAGTTGAAAAAAATAAATAAGTAACTCTTATAAATTATACGGAAAACTTAACAGCAGACAATAAAAAGACTATTCGTTATGGAAAGCTGTAGGAAAATTAAAGAAACCTATGATCAAAATACCCCACATAGAAAAAATAGGCTCATGGCTAGAGATAATAAAGACAAAGTTAACACTTAACAGAAGAAATATTGAAAACTTTTTCAAAAAAGTAATATTGAAATTGAGAATTTATTTAACGCAGCGTTACAACTTATATATGTCTCTAATGTCTGGAAAGTTACTTAAGAGTTTCTACCGTGACTTCAATCGTGCATGCCACAAAAAGCATAGAAATGAACGAAATAAGAATAAATAACATAAGAATAAATGATGTCGCGATTTACTTACAATAAAATGGGAGGTCGAAATAAGAAGTTTGTGGCATGGTAGTCAACAGCATTCTTGAATGGACAGATACTGGAAAGGTCAAAATAAAAATGGCCAGAAATCCATATATGCTAATTTTACAAATTGAACATTACTAGACAAACCAATCGTCTTCAATGGTGAAGTAGTTCCTTCCAAGAATTCAGCAAAATATTCAGTCATGACAACAGATACAAATTAAAATGGAGAGCACATATCAAAAAGAAAAAACATGATTTCAAATACAGTCCACTTTATTGGTTGCTGGAAAAGAATTCCCGACTATCAATACAACATAGAACAATGATTTGTAATCATATTAAAACCTATATCGTATGGTACATTGGGGTGTGCTAGAACAAGCAATACAACCATAATACACCGTACTCACATAGATACTCAAATAGGTAAACTGTGACACTAATGAGGAGTGGACTAAAAATATGTATTTATTACTAAACTAGCATTGTAAAATTAATACATGGTCTCATTTGACTAGTTTTAATGAATATACGTATTAATAAAATAAAAAAATGTCATTACGTGCAATAGCAAAAAGGAAAGCTCTCATATATTATACACATAATATATACATAACATTTTAACCCCATGCTGACTTATTTTGTATGCACACATAACTACTCAGAACACCACCGATTCCATTTTAACGTCTTCGTAATAATTATATAACTTTTCCAAAGGAATCTACGCAAATGAACAATAAGGTCTGTTTAAAAATTGGGAGGACTGTCCAAAACCATAAAGTTATGCTTTACAGTATGTTCGGATTTATTAAGTTGCAAGACATTTTATCAAAACTTAACCGTTATTCCAGATATTTCATTGATCATTAATTGTGAAGTTATGTGAGTGGTGAGGGAGATTATTTTTGTTTTTTCCATCATCATCCTTGATCCGTCAATGAGAACAGTCGAAGGAGGATGTTTAACAAAGGAAGTACTGAAGTAATTAAGTAATGATGTGAAAATTTCCTAAATCCTGTCCTAAAACAGAGAAGGATTTAATAAGGGATCATGTTCAGAAGTAATTAAACAACTTCGTTCGTTCCCTTTTCGGAGCTGGAGTAATTTGTAAACTCTTAAATTCGAACATTATTAATGATAATCACAATCTTCATTCCATTTTTTAGTTTTTTATTTTATACGAATTGTTCGTACTTTCTACAGCGAAAGCTGGCTGCATAAATGCGTATATAACACCAATCAAATAAAACTAATAATAAATGTTTTAATTAAAAGAAAAAGTTGCAAGTAAAAAATAATCAAAAGCGAGATCATAGATTCGTCAGCCGAAATGTAAGTCTAAAATAATCATAAACCCTTCCTATTGTGTAAACTATCTGGCATCCAAATGTAAAATAAACATTAAACGAATCAAATGTTTGGCTGTTATGATAATTATTTTACGAGGATGGCAGGTCTTAATAAAAACACTATCAGTTTTATAAATCATCGAGCCATTGTGCACAATGCAGACATTTTACGATAGGCAAAGCCGCTTGCCTTATTTGTTTGTTTATATTAAAATAAAAATTAGGGAATTCTCACCATCCACAGCTATAAACACCAATACCGCGAATTTCACATACATTTCTGACAAATTTAACCTATTCGATATTATAGAGTTTCTGACTGATTAAAAAAAATTCACTATTCTTTATTTTAATTATGGCAATTAATGTTTTTATATTATTATAGCTATCAAGGTTTTTAACTTCCATAAAAGAATATTAAAAAATTTTCAGACGTTCTTATTTTTTAAAAAATAATCTAACATAGCTTGTCTCGAAAAAATTTGTTCAGATTAATCATTTGTAACGAACTATTGTTATTAATCATTTTCTGTTACGGTGTTAATAGTTTCATACCACTGAGGTAAGAAATCAATGTAATTATATTTATTTTGATATCGCTGGTTTTAAGAATAGTTTGTATAGTAGTAACTATTTATTAGTACTGCTCAAGTTAGAAATCTCGTTAATTCAAATAACCACTGTACATTTCATCCAGAAAAATATGAAACAATATTCAACCCTTTTCATATACAAATAGATTTATAAATTTCTTTGTGACTTTAAATGATAAACAATAGTAAGATTCGTTTTGAGGCGATCACGTTGATTAGTAATTTATGAATTATACAATTATCAAAAAAATTAAACAAAGTTTTTCGTGAAGCTATAGATGATGTTTTATCAATTTTAATTTTTATAAAATCAAGTTTGAAAATTTTGGAGGTCGGCTAAAAATATACACTGGTTAAAAAAATAGTTGCTGACAACATTTACTAAATAGTAAAATGAAGTCCCAACACATTAGCTTAATTTTATGCTGGATATGTTAATTCGCCTTAAAATTAAGATTTCAAACTAAAAATTTTAAGAGGGTGGTAAACAGCCAGTTAAACTTGTATTATGAAATTAAATTTAGATCAAAAAATGCTGTTACACAAAAAATCAGGAATAAGAACGTCGAATATGATTTATGATTTCGATAAATTCTGTATTTGCATTTTAAGACTTTGTTATTATTTAAATTTTATGGCATGTATTTGTGATTATTTTGCCAAAGTACCATGCTGTCATATCAACCGAAGATAGTATGTTGCGTGACATATGACTCAGACGGTAAGTGCGACTATCAATTATAGAAATGCTGATTACAACTGGAAGGAATGTAAATTCTACTCACCGATCACTTCTGCGATCATAAAGAAGACACAAAGGACACTGGCGATGATGAGCTTCCGTCTTGCTCTCCTGTCGACGAGATCGCCCCGGTCATGGTGACAATGTTCGTCAGCTTAAACAGATCACAAAAACCGTCCAATTAGATTTTCACACTGATTAAACTAATTTGAACTAATAATCTCAAGAATGAAATCTAAATTTGAAAAGTAAAAATCAAAAACCAAAGAAAGGCACTTCACAAAATGATAAGAGAAATAAAATATAGAAAACAGGCACATTATCTTTTAGCTTCTTCTTATAAACGTTTAATTACCGATTTTAATTTCACCACTTCCAGCCGTACTTCCGTCAGTGTTAACAATAGTGGCACAACATCCTCCTGGCTTTCCATGGACGCAATATATAACCTTAGACGTACCTGGTTGATTGGAGGTCATTGCTGTCAGTGATCCGTATTCCGTATTTGAGCCCGACAAACTGGAACAAATAAAATCACATCGCCGATAGAATGCCGTGCTACGACTAGACTAAAGGCGACCTGCTCTCTGCTTCGGTGAACTTCGAAATGACTGAGTGAATAATTACATCCCCCACTATGCTCCACCACTCTTTTCCTCTCCATCTCTCGCCGCGGCTTTTTCCTCACCCCCCTGGGCTCCTTAGATTATGCAATGAAGACTACATGCATACTTACAATGTCAACGGCGTTTTCTCCAATTCCATGACCGAACTGTATTTTTATACGCTTAAGACAGACAAAACGGTTCTAAGAGACAGACGATAATGACAAGAAACGACAAACGGCTATCTTTAAACGTCGTCTGCGATAAAATTGACAGATAACGATTCAGTTAGTATTTACTTAAGATACTGATTTTTCTAATTTCTCATTTATTAAATTAAGATCGTTGCAAAAACTGTCCAGAAAAAGATGAGGCCATTAATGGTCAAACCAATTGTTTACCACCGTTCACTTTTATGCCTAATGAATATTCAATTTTGAATTTGAATTTTGCATTTCATTGAAAAATGAATTTGAAAGGTCACTACAAAACATTTGTTTAGAAAACCAAAAATATTTTTTATGTATATTCCGTGATAAAACTTGTTTTTGACCTAAGACGATATCGATTTTCAAATAAAACCAAATAAATTCCAATGTTCATATTTTATATGCACACAATAGAAAAATAGAAGGAACTTATTAACTTTAATCCTAATCGTTCATGAAGTTAAATAAAGTTTCAGACGAAATTTAAGAATGTGTACAGTTTATCCCTAAGAATTGATCGAACCTCAACATTGCAATAAACTATCAGAGATTAGGCCAATATTACAAAGGCAACATTTAGTTCCTTCGTCGATCCTTCGAAAAATATATCCCCTTCATCAGAACTAGGAAACTATAATAATTAATTTAAAAGGTTGAACATTTATTCCAAAAATTTGTTGGTTTGGACATAAGACACCGCAAGAATAACACCACACTTTGGTGAAATACTTGGTTCAAAATTTATGTTATTTACATCTCTATTTATTTTCACCGATCAACTCTAATCCAATTGTCACCCTGAAGATGACCCGAATAAAGCTCGAAACATCGGCCAAAATGAAAAAGGTGTTTTTCTAAAATACTTCATTTCTTACCGCTACACACGATTCAACACATTATTCAACAACCGGTCGCTAAAAAACAATTCCAAATTTTGACACCTATGATACCGATCATATTTTATTAGAAAAGTTTTCGAATTTTCTACTAAGTTATTTGTATTCCTTTGCGTTTCGGCGTGTTTATGCGTACGTTGTGGCGTCGTCATTAAGCAAAAAGAGTTCAATAAAATGTTCAAAAAAATGAGGACATAAAAAAAATGTAGATTTATTCAGTTTTGGTTCCACTTCTAGCAAACATTCTCATTTTATTGCGATGTAATATATACAGTGAAACGGAAACTTATTTGTCTAACGTGGACGGGGCGGACCTGAAGAGATCGATTTTGATCGATTTGCTGTCAACAATTCATCATAACAATTTGGCAATCTCCAAAAATGTTTGTTTTGAAATGGGAACCCGCTACCGGTGGAGGCACTGTCCAGAAAGAATCTATCAAATAATTTATTTATAAATTTATTATTCTTTCGTAGATCGGCTTTTTAATAAACATTAGTTAAGTTTTAAAAAATCTTATATACCAAATTATATATATAGTGTGAATCAAGCATATGGCGTTTTTTCAACAAGTAAACATCACAACTTGAATGCCATCATGCCATGACAGGTGGTCAACTTTCTATTCATTTATAGATTTCATTTTTATTCCCCTGTTTATCTGTTAACCCCACAATATGGAAGGTTGAGCTTAAAAAAGTAAAGTTTTAGGACAAAACTTATTAGAATTGCAAAACGAACGAATTCACAGTGTGTTGAAAGTAAAAAAACTCATTCATAACTGTAAATAAAGATTACTGCAACATGTTAATATTTTCTATCCAATAAAACTTGTACTTTTAACGATATTTTTGTATAGTATTACCTAATCGACATTAGCCATATGAGTAATGTTCAGGTATATGAGAACGATCAAACGAGGTTCATTAATTTGTCCTTTTATTTATTTTTTTATGAACTAAAGTGGAAGGAAATCGATATAATTACGTATTTATGATCTCATCGAAGAAACTCGATATTGCGAATATTTAGTACCCTCTACTCGAATGGAGAATCGTTTTCAAGTAGGCCGAAGGTAAACCATCAAAACTTTGCAACTATTGCTACAAGGATCGAATATCATTTTGACCAAAATTAATTTGTCCAACTTCAAGGATGCTGGCGTGCTGAGCATTAAGCGAGCAGGAGAACCGTTGGGTATTAAATTTCCAAACGCCCACAACAAATGAACCGTTGTTTCCCTCCAGTGAACTGTGAAGTAGAACATTCAATATGAGAAATCACTAGTAAAAATCCTATTTTGTCGTGAAAGGGAAGAGCGGTGAAAAGAAAATTGACACGCGACCCTAACCATGCCATAGCTTCCATCTGATTGTGAGTCTTTTTCCTTATAAAGCACGCCATTATTTTATTTCTAAACACTTTTCGATTTTGATTGTTCTCATTCGTTCTTCTGTGATTGACGATGGAACATATTAAAATATATTTTCAGTAAGAAAGATGGACAGGCAAGAAAAAACATTATTCGATAGGCCATTCTCTCGGGAACTTGAAGAACTTTTAACATGCGTTTAAACTTTAATACAAACTAAACCACAGCATTCCCTTAAGTTTATAATCCCATTCTCGCAAATTTTGTATCTCAATTAACCCACTCAAAACATCTCAACAACTCCGGTTTATGATTTGCTTTCAAACGCAACATACAATTAACGATTCACATTATACAAGGGTTGTTTTTGTTATTTAAACCGACAACTTTCATTACAATACGTGAATTCGATAATTCATTGTCTAACATGATAATTGAACATGATGGCAGAAGCCACTCACTGGTGGCACACCCCCTAGGCCATTGCCTTTCAACCGACGTGGAGGATTTCCAGGTAGAGTTAGTGTGAAAAGTTGATGGACGAGGGGGTTTGGGTGTATAGAAAGGGTATTGTGGCATTTCGGATAACGTGTTTTTACAAGGTCGTGAATGAATGGAATATGGAGGTCAGTGTGAATGGTTTTACTGGAGACGTAGAATGGAGCATTAAAGATTTTTAATTGGAGAGACTGGATACGGAATGAATTGGAATGTTGGTTTATACAAGGTTAGAAAAAGCTATTCATATATCGTGAGATGCGGTCGGGTGTGTTGTAGGTTTCAGAAAAACATTTTCTTTATCGTGCCAACGTTTCGATCTTTTATCGAGATCATCTTCAGGGCCTGGGATTTACAAACAATGTTTACTTTTAACTAATACATTTAGGATGTGGAAAAGTGAATTTATACAATCCAAAATATATTTTATATTCAAACAAAGTATTTCTACTCACTCAAAGTGTTTGTCTTCTGTGTAATTGTGCCATCCTTGCGTGTCGTGTTGAGAGTGCTAGTGAGATTTAAAATAGCAAAATCTCATGTTAAACAAAAATCCCAGGCTCTGAAGATGATCTCAATAAAAGATCGAAACGTTGGCACGATAAAGAAAATGTTTTTCTGAAACCTACATCACACCCGACCGCATCTCACGATATCTGAATAACTATCGATTAACGGTCACTAATCTCTACACACGTTAGAAAACACTAATCTCTACACACGTTAGAAAAAGCATAAGTAAAATTTTCAGGATCATACATAAGTGCAGGGATTATATATATAAATTTTATTTTTAAATTTTTTTACATATATTTTTTTAAGGCTGACAACAATAGATTTGCATAAGTCATTCATAACTTCTTCGGATTACCGTTAGCTCCGATCAAGTCGACTTTTAGATCAAATGATAATATCATATCGCTGATTTAGAAAATGTTGAATTTAGGTTTGACAACAACATAATTGGTTGTGGTAAAAGTTAGATGTAGTTGGAAAAAGGTTTAATTTGATTGGAAAAAAAGTTCATATTTGGTTGTAAATAGGTTCAATTTGATTTGGAAAAAATTAACTTTTTGTGAAAAGTAGTATGGTTTGAAAAAGTTCAATTACATTTGATAAAAGTTACGTTTGGTTCAAAAAAGGGTTTAATTGGATTTTTAGGTTAAAAATTCGATATGGTTCAGAAAAGGTCAAATTGGGACAATTTTTCAATTTGTTTTGAAAAAAGTTCTATGTGGTTTGAAAAAAGTTCGATCTGGTTTGAAAAAAATTATATTAGATTAGAAAAAGGTTCAATTTGGTTGGAAAAAGATCCAATAAGATAAGGTATATTTCATTTGTTTTGAAAAAAGTGTTTTTGAAAAATATTCGACGTAGTTGGAAAAATGTTGAATCTGATTTAGAAAATTTTTAATTTGTTTTAAAATATGTTCGATGTGGCTTGAAAAAAAATCCATTTGTTTACGAAAAGGTTCATTATGATTTGTAAAAATTTCAATTTGTTTTGAAATATAGTTTGATCTGGCTTGACAAAAGTTCTATCTGGTTGGGAAAAGGTTTCGACGAAATTCGAATTCTTTTGAAAAAAGTGCAATTTGATTTGGTAAAAAGATCGATTTGTTTAGAAAAAGTTCGATGTGGCTCGGAAAAAGTTCAATTCGTTTTGGAAAAGGCCAATTTCGTTGGTAAAAGTGCAATTTGGTTTGGAAAAGTACAACTAGGTTTAAAAAATGCTTAATTTAATTTATAAATAATTCTATTCGACATGAAAAGTTCAATTGAAAATTTTGAACAAAAGATGATATATTAAAATAAAACAAGTTCCGCTGTGCAATAAATCAACCTTATACAAAATTCGTTGGTGCACAAACAGCTACAAAAGTAATAGAATTTTCCCTCTAATGAAATTATTAAAAATTAATTTAATTACCAAATATG